GAGGAAGCAATTTATTAACTATTACATGCTNGTCGTAGAACGGAGTCGGCATTTTGGCACACGGATATGCCAACCTCCTCGTGGAGCCTACTCGACGGAAAAAAGGCAGAAAAAATCAAAGGCTTTTCGTTAGATAGCACACGCAGCACGGAACAAAGCAAGAAAGAAAGTAGCAATGTTTGCATAGAAGAAATGAAAGCAGTCGGTGATATCATACGCTTCAGCTCAGGATACAAGCAATCAGAGAAAAGATAAAAAGGTAAAAAATATCAACAAAACAAGGCAAAGGGCATTTGGAACCCAATGGAAAGAACAGCAAAACATCGTGACCGCAATCCAAACTGAGGAAGCAATTTATTAACTATTACATGCTGAAAGAATAGCCAGACCATCCATATCGACATTATGTTAGTAGGTATGGACCAAGGAGCAGGTGAAGAGAACTTGGAGTAGGATGAGGTGCTGTCATCCGTCTAACAAAAGTCACGCCACACCACAGCATACTGACGAGATCGGCAACACGAACGTTAAATAAATAACAGATAGCCTGTATATGAAAGAAAGAAATGAACTCAACTATCCAAGCCAAGTAACTCAATCAAATGCATGTTTCCAATTTTCTTCGGAAAGACTCGCCATTTGAGGATTGCAGTACTTCATGAGAATGCTTTCAAGTCATCATGTCTCACGNGGCCCAATATTCTATTAGCTCCAATTCCAACCTCTTTGCAAATAATGCGGAAGCAGAAGGTGAGACCACTGACTATGCTCATTCGACTGAGACTCACCAGGCCAAAGATTTTCAATATATGAATATATGTATGCTAATTCCATGTCTCCTCCATCGTAGCAAGGAATGAGCATGTATTCGGTTCTGGGAAAAGATCTAGGAAACAACAACCTGGTGAGTATGTTGAACTTTTTCCAATTCGCAAATGTCCTTCCCAGAGATGTCCTTCACACTTGAAAGCATTACTCAAAGTGTGGGAGAACGTAGGCCATGTAAAGTCACACAGAGACCCTATGATCATTACACAGCGATTTTCGTTGAATAACAAATAAAGCAGCAAATGTCTTGAGCAGAGAACTTAACATCTGAGTTGAGTAGTGCTCCCGAGTCCTTTGCATAAGGAACCCAGGCGAACAAAGTTCCGTTGATAGATCACTTTCAAGGGAGGCTACACCCAGTATGCAAAACGGAGCATTTATTCAGATCAACAGGGAGGCTCCACAAAGCTGTCCATTCTTTCAATCCTTCAGCAGAGCGAAAGAGGGCGGAGTTAGACTCCATTATGACTAACTTGCAGGCATAAATTTTGATGTCGTCAGCATAAATTTGGGTCTTAGCAGAACCAGAGGTCTTAATGAAGGCTAGGAGATCAGTGGTGTAAATGAAGAACAATAGGGGTGATAGCACACTGCTTTTCGGTATCTCACTGCGACAGACGTCGTTTCGAAAGGTTTGAACCACTCTTACAGTGACAAGCCTATGACCAGAGTAGGATCGAATTAGCCATGCATGTGTTAATTGATCCCAAGGCTATCCAATTTCATAAGAAACTCGTTTCGCCATTGTTAAGTGTTATGGTCAAGTCAAAAACAGCACCGAGGAGTCAGAGGCAGTAGAGGCCTCAAAGGAAGCCGTGTTGCTCTTACGGAATGACATTGAACTTCCGAGGCCAACCAAAGATCTCGTTTCCAATAAGTCTTTGAATGACCTTGCAAGCACTGGGAATGATGCTGATTGGCTGGAAATCAGATAACAGTCTACCGTCGATTTCTTAGGAATAGCTAGAATTATCGATGTCAGGGACTCCTTCAAGGAGCTTGGACAAATTGGAAATATGCGCCAAAGGCTGACAGAGCGAAATTGAACACTTACAAAAAAGAATCTGCGGGAGGTCATCTAGGGTTCAGCCATGAAAGGCTAGAGTTCCACCAAAACCTTAAAACATCATGAGGGTTAAAGGTAGTACGCTCCAGACGGTGGCCAATCCGGATGTGATTGAAAATTTATTGTTACAATTATTTTGGGAAAAAATGCTAGCGAAAAAA